AGTAAAAAAAATTCAAATGGAATTATTTTTGATATTTAAATATCTATGAAAATCTCTACAGCATGTTATGGATTAAAAAAAAAAAGTATATATCAACATCTCTCACTCCTCCAATACCTAATAAAAATATTTTTATATATCACTATTGTACAATATTACTAAATCACTAAGTAACTTGAACATTATTGAATATTATTTATTGTTTGTTATATTGTATGTAATATGTATATAACTATATATTCAAATCAGTATAACATATTTGCTTTTTATTAATTTTGACAATTGCAAGTAATTTTTATAACTATTTAAAAATTATTTATAAAGTTAATATATGTAATATGTTTTCTCAGTTTTTTATTTTTTGCAATGAGCACCATTTTGTACTACTATATTAGGAAAAACATGAGCCATATATAATTCTAAAACACGTTAACATTACAGACTTATATGCTGACTTAACATTTTGACATGTTGATTTGGCTTTTGAAAATTATGAGTTTCCATTTAAACAGAATTTTATTCAAAAATAGCAAACGTTCTAGTTGCATTTTGGTTTCTTAATGTCATTCGCATATTTGGTTAAAAAAAGTAATTATTATTATTATTGAAGAATACAATAATTCGAATATATATCAAAAATAAATATGTTTAAAATATGATGGCTTAAAAGTTAAACTCTTAATGTATATGAAATATTTCTTAGTATTGCTTAAACATATCCATACACAACTACTTACTTTTATTAACAACAAATGACTTAGAATAAATGAACTATGTATCAAAAAACCTATATAAAAATAAATTACTAATATACGTACAATAAGGCGGAATTAATTTGTATATCTGTATTTTTTTAAGCTAGATCGCATTAAGAACTGTTATAATTTTAATTTCCTACTATTAGTTATATATTATAATAGTCAATCGATAAGTTGAACTGATTGTCAGGGAGTTTCACGTATATAATACTGTATGTTAATTGATATCACCTAGAGACGTGGTTAATAGAGCCAACGTGACTTAGACTCCCTGGTGAATAGCGATTATGTTCTATGCTTGAGTGTATTTAGTAGTCGACTGCCTCTATTGGGGTTTGCTGTTATCCAAACCCTGCCTCTATTGGGGTTGCTGTTATCCAAAAGCAAGAAGCATAAACACAAAATTGTCAAGCAATCCAGATTGCTAGCTTCATAGTAAGTGGTCGTTGCTATCCTTACTAAATCCATCTTGTGAATGTGTGCGCTTAGCAAAAAATATTCCGTTAGTGTACTAATCATTATTCTCCAATATCAATGCGATAAAAGCACATACACACGTTTTATGCCCTATAGTTAGATTTGGTCCCACTGAAGATAAGCTTTGGGCATTTTTCAATACATATGAAACTATAATGAAATTTTTTAATATATATATTAAAATTTTATTGGAATTGTAGTGTTTTAAAAAATTTGAAACTTTATAAATTTAGTATTATATCAAAAACTTGAAACAATTTTATATAAAAAATATATTTAGTTCTTTTTAGTTCTATTTAAATGTTATTTAACAGATTGTTAGAATATTTGTAAATTTGTTGGATTTCATATTAAAACTATATATTAGGAACTATATAGTTTCTAACCTTAAATTTCCCTAAAATATGAAAGAAAAATATTATATTCAATTCTATTGTATTTTAATTCAAATCTCTGTATGGCATTATTTTGATGCTCTTAAAGTATTATTGTGATTCATACGGTTTATCGCCACGTTAATAAATTTGGTTTAAAATTACTTTAAAAAAGAAGAAGTCACATTGGGTATTTCTGACATAAACTTTTGAATTTTGAAATTTTTTAGCCATTTAAAAATATTCATTTGTTTTTGTTTTTTATTTTGGATATTACTTGTAAGTGGTCAGGCTCTGCGACCGAAAATTATTTTGTGATTAATTCTGCCGAGGTGATAATGCCGGTATTTGGCATGAATCACATGCTTGCAATTTTAATTTCATGAGATACATATATAAAATACTTTCATATTTTGTAAATTATTTTATCTGTATTCATTGTTTTTTTTTTCTTAAGTTTAAAGTACGTACTTCACAGTTTTAATTTCCCTTCCATCTGAAATTAATTATGCTTAAGCGTGGGTAACTCCTCAACTTACGTAGATATTTTTAAATATATAAAAATATTTTAATTCAGTGGTTATGTATTAACGCCTTGTTATGTTGCGTATGTTTTAATGTAGCGGATATCACAAATGTAGTCAGCCGCAAACGCTATTCTAACCAAATATCAGCCCAGTATCTCACTTTTTACTTTGCATATACTTGGTCGCATTTTAAACGCCCACCTTTTTAATTATTTATTTATTATTTATCATTTTTTCGTTTTAACAACTTTTCAGGTAGTTTTCTATGAACACAGTTCCAATCACAATTTATATCACGCTCTGTTTATCCTATTTTTTTTTAATTATGTAGCATTTTTGAATTAAATATACCGGCAGATTGTGAATGTTTTGCTCAAAACACATTTTGCATTTTGATTAGTTTGGTTAATATTACGTTTATTGCTTTGAAGTAAATACGCAAAACTAAACTAAGTTGCAAAAATGCCAAAATATATGCTATAATAAAAATAAAACTATTTACAATGAATAGTTTTATATATAAACTATAGTTTATATTGATAAAAAATATATTACATATTTGGTTAATTAATACACCTACGGTATTTGAAGAGATGCCTACCATGCTTAATTAGTTCAAAATCAAAGTTTTATTTATTCCTAATATAATATTATATATTAATAGACATTTAATATATACTAACATATAGGTAGATAGTGTGTTTTTTAAAATAAAACATTTTAAAATGACATATAAGAATCGTTTTATAAGTTTTTTTTTCATATATGCAGATAATGTGGAGTTTATGTTTGATTCAGATATTTAACATTGAAAATATGAAATAGATTTCTTTAAATAATTTTAACTGCATTTTTTTTTTATCTATTTTTCTTCTTTTTGTATTTTCCGTAACTATTTTCATGTTTTTACTGCAGTAGCTTTTAATTGTTTTTGTTTTCATTATTACTGCAATGTATGTATGCAATTATGCGCATATATGAATGTAAGTAAATGTCAAGTACTTTAAGGTGCAAAATATCTCATTGCTACTATTGTTGTTCTTATGTTTGTTCTAATAAATTTATGCATTGATGATCTAAGTATAGATATCAATAAATGTCTACCTCAATCAGAAGTTATGGTTTTTATGGTTGCTGTAATATGCTTGCATTGATAACATTTAATATAGTTTACAAGTCCAGTGTACTGATAAAACTTTTATTATTTTCCAAGTTTTTATTCCAAGTTCCAAACTTATTCAGTTTGTAACTTTTAGTATTCGAGGTAAGCAAAATCTAGTCGTCCTCTCGTACTTTTGACAATGCCATTGTAGTTGAATGATTTTATAATATTATTATATGCTATAATACTAATATAATTTTTTGTTAGGGCCATGTTATGCAGAGTGTCTCGGGCACGGCATGAGTACAATTGTTGTTGTTTGCAAATTTTAAATTTGAGAATGAGAAAAAATACAATATGGCCGTTCAAACTCCGGCGCATGAGAGCCGGCGTATTTGTGCCCCGGCACTAAGGCAAAACAGTGTTGTTTAGTAATAGATTTCAAAATCTGCGCCTTTTAGGAGCAAACTACTACAATTCTAATACGCTTTGGAGAAAAAATGACTGTAAGCAACACAGCCCTTTTTTATAAATCGCTAATAATATAATTATTGCACTTTCCTGTTTTAAAGAAAGGCGTAAATACTGTTAAGTACTGTTAACAATTATTGTAAGATAATGTAATAATAAATTAACATTATTATAGCCTCTATGAGTTTTTTCTTACTAGTTATTTTTGATGGTAAATTGATATTGAGGCTATCTAAATTTCCTTTTAAATTTAGGCACAACCAAAAAATATCAAAACATTGTAAATATACGAAATTGGCAATACTGATGTGACACTCTGCATAACATGCATTTTCGGCATAGCCCGAAAGAGCGTAATTTGCCGTGCCCGAGACACTCTGCATAACATGGCCCTTATTGATATATCATCAGAAACTAAAAACTATCTAAATGCGCGAATGACCAATAAACCGGCGTTTTATATACCTTGTTCATGTAGAACATTTAATAGGCATATGTATTGACTAAATATACACAAAATTCTTTATATGGTCCCTTTTTATAAATATTTGCAATTCGACTCACTTCAATCAAGAGATGATGTCTAATATAAGTTTTACTTTTTATTACAAAGCATTAATTGAGTTATCATTATGGTATATAGACTGATGTTGTTTGAAATTTTGAATTCAGTCTAATATCTGTCAAACTTAAAAAAGTCTGCAGTTATCGATTAACGAATATTCATAATCTATTTGTTACCACTAAGGCTTTTAAATCTAATATGTGCGATAGACGTAAAGGTTTCAAACTCTATTTAATTCATGCGGACACGATTTTAAGATGTATAATTGCACCATAAAACATTTGCCATAAAACATGCAAACATTAAAGTTTTATATTGTAAAAAACTAAAGACCGATCTTAAATATATTTAATGAATGAATTTAGAAGAGTTATATTCGAATATATTTTACTATTTATTAATGGAGTTGCGTTATTGTTACAATTAATATATAGGGTCCACTACGCTTCACGGTTAAGGTGGTTTAACCGATCGTTAAACTTTTAATGATGGGAGCATCTTGAAAAATCCTGTTTTGTTTTATATGACATGTTGACCTAAGGGCGATAACGTTATATTTTGTTTAGCAAAATAGCATAAACTGTGTAGATAATATACAGTTTTGTTTAAACATTATTTGTGATTAAATCAATAGTCCTTTTTAAAAAGATATAGCTAATAATATTTATAGAGTAATATAAAATATAACTAATTGAAATAACTTTTTTCTATATTTATTTCTTATAGACATACTCTGGTCTTTTCTGCGTTGTAGTTAATCCCTATAAAAAATTACCGATTTATACTGAAAAGATAATGGAACGATACAAGGGTATAAAACGACACGAAGTGCCTCCACATGTTTTTGCCATAACAGATACCGCTTATAGATCCATGTTGCAAGGTAAGTCATTTTATTTATATATAAATATTACTTCAAAAACTGTATGGATTTTCTTCGATTTCTTAGAATATTTCGCTAGAATTATTTATTATTTCTTATCAAAATACCACTAAATTCACTTCTGATAAAAGAATTTTGATAAAAGTTAACAAGTTTATTAATGAACAGAGATAAGATAATAGCTACAAATTTTTTTTTCGTGGGTTTATTTCGATGATAATAAATTTAATGAGCAGACATTGTAATTTGTTTTTAAATTAAAAATGAGGTAACTTAATGTTTATTTAATAAAAATGACAATAATTTACTTTTTAAGCGATGTTGTTATAATACTTATTCACACTTGTTTACGTACGTGTTTGAATAATAAAAAAAAATTGAGCTTTTAATCATACATATTTAATATAATTTCATTTTATTTTTTTTTTTTTTAATTGTCATATGAATTTATTATTCAAAAATATTTTTTTCAAAAAGAATCTCTCAATTCCCTATTATAAATTTATTAATTTAAAATAAAATTATTTTTGTGAGATCGTGATTCAAGTAGAAGTTATAAATAAAATATTTCAGTGTGAAATATTATATCAAACTAAAAGATCATTTTAAAATATTAATATTTATAATAAATTATATAAATAAATTTAGTGTAAATTTAGTATAAATTTAGTACAAATAATATTTTGATAATAACCTTACTTATTATCAAAATAGAGTAACCCCTTAGTTACACCGCGGAAAATATATGTATATATATGTACATATAATAAATGAAATCCTTTTATCAAAATGATAAAAGTACGGAAAAAAATTTAATTTCTTGGTAAATTGTGTAACAAATACTTTACGCAAAAAAAAAACTGTTAATATTAAAGATGATTAATGTGGTTTTAAGTAAAAAAGAAATCATCTGTAATGATTCATAAGTCTTTTATATTTATTTAAAGTTTATCTTGAACCTTTCATACATTAAAACTGGTTTGTATTGTAATTTTTAACATTAAATATCTAAAAACTTGCGTTATCTATCGAAACGCTAGCATTAAAATAAAATATCGTTTATGGTAGTTGTGTGAGTGTGCAAATGTTTATTTGGCTCAAGTTCCGCTGTGAATCATACTTTATCGAAGATACTTTTTCGTATATAAATTTATTAATTAATTTGTTTAAATGTGTTTGCAATATTTGCCGGTTGATTAGTTTTTGGTCGCTTTGTTTTCCCTTATAAATATTTTCGTTTTTATATTTTTTCATAATTGTTTTTTGTGCTTTTTAGCGGCATTTTATTATATTCCATTTAATTAACTTAAACGTTTTTATTATTATTATTATGAATGCATACGTAGCAGTAGAGCAAAAACTTTTATAAAACTTTACTAGTTCAAGATACATACATATAGATGAAATGCGAAGAAGGTGTGCCTCAATTAATTTTACTAATAAATCTTTTTAATATTTTTCATATTTATGTCAGAAATTTATGTGAATTCGATTTTTTTACAATTTAATTTTGTAAAATAATTTTAGTTGAATTTTTTTATATGGAAAGGATCCATACTCTTCATATTTTCAGAAATTTCTGATAAATTGTTGGATGTCCTTTCTTTAATCCAGTATTTTAAATATGTTTAAAAAATAATCATTTTTCTATTTGTTGAACAAAGGTATTTAAATCTATTTGTACAACAATTAATTTTAATTGTTGTTAAATTAACAAAAGTACGCAAACTATTTATATTTGATAAATCTTTAATTTATCATATTTATAAATATAAATACAGTTTTATAAATAAAATTTATAATCATATATATAGACGATAAGTTTTGATTAAAACATTGTAAAATAAGTTTTAAGTAATGACTAATATGTCTGATTAGCTTCTTGATTGTGTGGTTTGAGTCAACACAAGGTGCTCAAAATTTGTAACTTGAGGTTATAAATTCAGTAAAACTGTACTGTACTAAATTACATGTAAATGACGTCCATTTTCTGTTTGGTCAAAGTAATCACAGATCAAGTTGATGTAATAACACAAAAAAATTCCTAGGTCCCACAAAAAATCAACTTCTATACTCAGTTGTAACAAATTATGAAAAAAAAGATCTCTATATATATTACAGAATTTTTTTAAGTAAATAATATATATAAATTATATAAAACTATTATAATATATATATACATAATATAAAACTAAACTATATAAAACTATAAAACTATTACAATATATATAAATTATATAAAACTGTTATAATATATATAAATTATATAAAACTATTATAATGTATATATATATTGTGTAAAATTAAATACACAAAATAAAATAATTAATAATAATAATAATGAGATAATGGTACTTGCACACAATATATTTTAAACAAAACTCCATTTTAAAATTTATTTTTTATTTTTAAACTTTATTTTTTCCAAAAGTAGGTTTCATAAATTTTTATCTTGTTTGGCTGTCACCGCTGTTCGCATATGGTTATGCAATCAATTTGAACAAATCTAATAGCTTTTAGCTATTGTATGAAGTCCATTTATGGCTATGTTGTTACCAATAAGGTCGACGTCAGTCACTTTGATTTTTTCTCGTACAAAATTTGATCGTTTTTGCGGTTTATTATTTTTATTGAAGTATTTTTGTACCCCTTTTCTGTTTTACTGGTTTCAGGGGCTCTTATAATTTTCATTTTTTACTTTAAACGATTTTGAAGTAAACTATAAAATGAAAAAAGTAAAAATGGCATTGTTTGGAGAAAATACTTCATTAATAAATTTTACCTAAATGGTTATACGAATGTTTAAAAATTTTTAAATAATTAAAATATGCAATCTTCCTGCTTTAAGTTTATTCGTTAACATGATTTAGTAAAGTAAGTAATTAAATGAGATTTTGTGAAGGAGCTTCAATTAAGTCTAATCAAATTATAAATTCTTTTGAGTTTTATTTTAAGTTTTAATAGTTAGGCAGGCTAGGAATGGAGTAACCTTGCCCAAAATTCTTCTCTGGCTTATATAAATGTCATTTCTTCTCACTTATATGGAGAAAAGAGGAAAAAAGAGAAAGCTATATTGGGACAATCTGCCAGGGCGATTTCAATCGAAATCAATTACAGAGACTTTCAACCTAAAACGATTATGTACCGCAAAAAAAAAAAATAAGAATCATTACAGGAATTTTTACAGAGCACTTGCTGTAATGAAAGAGTATGAGACCTCAAAACACGTGTTGGAAGTTTGCACAGCTCTGATATATAGACGAATTAAATAAATACCTAGGTGGTACTTCTTCTTGTTTTCTTATACTTATCAACTTGACATACTTACTCAAATGTGTATAATAAGAATACAATAATTCAATTAGCAATGACAAGACCACAAGCAGAAAAATAATTGACTAGTAAAAGTGCCGTAGAGATGGAACATTTCTGTAGAAAACATTTGTTGATATGTTGATATGCAGATGTCTGAGTTGGTGATCTCATCATAATAACTGAATACGGGGCTTTATAATATGATGGATCTGATGACTTTGTATCTGCCTGTGTTTATCAGATTTCGCTGTATTTTTAGGTTGCTGAGAGTTGGATTATTGTGATTGTCAATTATATTGAACAGTTTCAGTACAAACATTTTTAACGTTTAAAGCAGAAGAAATATTTTCTTTCGAAAAGGCCTCATAAAGCAATTTCAATGTAAAAAATCTGTTAATAATTGTAATTAAATATTAGATATAGATCCAAAATTCATATAATATAATGTCGGATTTATTAGTAAATAAATAAACGCATACATATAAAAAGATTGAACCTATCATATTTATTAATAAAATCCATTAACAAATAATCTATTATTGGTATAGATCACTACATGACAATATTTTTTAAAATTATTTTTTATACACAATACAAAAGTGTTCCAGTAAATATTTTTATCGCCATCTGAAGTTATGATCGCCTATAAACATTAACTAGCGAAACTTGTCATCATCACATGTACTCGGATTCAAATGTGGCGATTCATATTGTATGTTAGCTTCCATTTAATTGTGACGACGCCAATCTTGAATAGATATTTGTATCATATGTATATCTTGGTTTGTAGTGCATAGAATTAACCACATTTTGGGTGTAATCAATGTGTCGCCATTATTGTTACCCAGTTGACAGTAAGTCTTTGCCGACCCCTCTCACTGTTATTTTTGTTTTAATTATTGAATTGCTGCGATAGGTTTCACTTTTCAATTGATGAATGCTTTTTAAAAATGTGTAAAAATTAAACAATAAAAATATACTCAAGCAGTAAATTAGGTCATTCTGTGATATCTGTTTTGTATTGTATCTTGCTGCCATAAACGCTGAGGTTTTCAATTTTATTTTACTTTTAATTTACTTCTATACATTACTGAATTTATTATTTTTTGCAATTCTAGGCGAATTCGTTAATTTATTTTTTTTTTCAGTAATAAAATCTGCAAACTATGCTTAACCATAAATGTTTTTGATTGTAGGTCACTCGAAATTTTTTTTTTCTTATTTAAACTCCATAAATATTAAGTTGTTATTTTCAAATATATATTAATGGTATTTTAATAAATAGGTTTATTTTTTAATAAGTATTTTTTATATGTATATATTTATTTTAAATTTACTATATATGAATCTTTTATGTTTTCCAGATCGTGAGGATCAATCAATTTTGTGTACTGGTGAATCTGGTGCTGGTAAAACCGAGAACACAAAGAAAGTAATACAGTATTTAGCTTATGTAGCGGCATCGAAACCCAAAGGCTCTGGCGCGGTAAGTTTCAAGAACTAACACTTTATTTAATATTCTTATTTATATATATTATTTATTTATTATTAATGAAATATATAAAATATTTACCATCAATATGAATTTACATATTAAATATTTAAAATATATGTAATATTATTTTTAAAAAAATAGTTTTATAAAATAAATATCAAAAAATTATATGTCAACAGTATAAAATTGCTTGTTTAATATTGAAATCATTTATATAAAATAAATTAATATATTTTTAAAAAGATATGGATATCTTACTTTTGAATAATATAAAAATATATTTATAGTGTATCCTAATTTTTAGTTTTGAGTCCTTACGTCGAAATTTATTTATTCTATACTTATTTCTGCCGAAATACGTATAGAAAATACACAAAAACTATATCTAAATATCTGATATCTAAATTTATAAATTGCAATAGACTAAACCCTAATAACAGTAAGGCAGAAAAATGTTTGTGGTTATATAAAATACATTATCCAGGCAAGTCTTACCTTTGTTTATAAGTACATTCCTTTATTCAATTCGAATATTATCATTACAACGCATTTTTAGCATTATTATAATTTCGGTATAGAAAGATATTTCGAGACTTTCAAAATAGTACAGTGTATTCTGGGTTCTGTTTCACTTCTTCACCAAATCTGGGTAGTAAGCTGGGTGGGATAAGTACCCAAAGTACATTTCGTATAATCTAATTAAGTTATCAGTATGTAGGCACATTATACTATCTTCATTGAAATATACTTTGTTACAATGACGCGATATAATAATTGTTATTCATATCTGTTTAACTTTTCAAGATAATCGAAAAATATACCTGAATATGGAACTACTTTTCAGTACTTTTTTACTTTACTTTCACGAACCATGACGTGAAAATATGCTTCTGATTACATGTAACATGTTAAAGCAATGTTGATAATTATCTATAGGTTACTGCATTTGATCGCCTGAAAGCAACTGCAATGCCGCTTTTGCTAACAATATTACCATTAACAAAAGTCTATACATATGTTATTTTGCTATCTGTTGCAAACTTTTATGTACGGTGATTTAAAACAATTTTATTAATGTGTTCGGAGTAACAACCCTATTTTAATAGAAGATTAGACTGTTTGGCATTATCAGTGTTGGTCGACTGCGATTAAATTATATACTATATACCAGTAAATGGTGACTGATTTTTTGGGTACATATGTATTTTATGAGGCTTGGCACTTTGGTATAGCAAAATTTGTTTTTTTTTATCTAAGAAGCGCCACCTATATGTCAAACCAAAAATTTTTTCTCTTTACTTAGTATGGATATTTAAATTTTATTAAAGAATTTTTGAAAACAAAAAAGAAAAATGAAAAATATTGTCGAAATAATTTCTTTTTAAATGTTTTAATATATTTCTTTAAAACTTTTATGTATGATTTAGTAAATATTTTATGAAGTATAATGAAATATAATCTGTAAATATTTTTGAAAAAAATATATTATTTGTAAATCTACTTTTTTACATACTTTCGTTTAGATAATTTGCCAAAGTTAAAAATTATTTTCTGAAGACTTGCAGTCGTTAACTTGATATTTATATATATAATCAAGTGTTTATATATAAGAATTCTTTTATTTTTTGTTTTTTGTGTTTTTTTTTTGCTTTAAAACAGTCTTTTGCTCGTATCTGTGAAGAACATATTTTGAACGTGAGTCATGCATTTGTTATCTTAAGAACTCGAAATCTCACAAACACTGAAGCAATTCATCAGGCATAAAATCCGTTGAAGCTTCAAACAAATAGGCTCCATTTAAGGCGAATTATGTCACAAAAAAAAAATTATATTTAAGAAAATAAACTTTTATTCTACAAACATATGTTAACTTATGAATTAAAAATTATTTTATCTTTCTAACAACTCCAAATATATTCGCACTTCATTTAAAGTTTAAATTGTGCGTTAATAATTATTTAAATTTGTTTCATATATTTTTTCAAACATATAACGAACACTTAATTCCATACATTTATAAATATATATATATGTATAATTGATATTCCCTTTATTTTACTTGTTAATGACAAATTGCATGGATAATTTTTCATTTGGTTTTTGTTTCCAAACGAACTACAATATCTCTCTTCTATGCCATCCTATAATAATTGCTTTTATTAAACAAAAGTGCATGATTGCACATATATTTACTTATATGATTTGATCATTGTATCGAAAATGAAAAAATAAAAAAATATTGAAATTATACATTTATTGGGGTTCACTGTGCCAATACCAGTGCATTATATACGATATTTCGAACACAATTTCAAGTCACAATATACAAAAGCCGTTTTAAAAGTAATTTGTATACGACACGCTTATAATATCATGTATATGTGTATTGAATTCAATATTAGGAAGAGCGAACCATATCTGAAATTTTGTGGAAAAAGATACAGAAATCCAGCGATAAGCATAAATTGCTGCTTGCTTAGGTTTTGTGTATGAGAGAATTATACATTCTTGAAAAAATAATTTAATTAAAAACTAGTAAAAGAAATTTATACTTTTTATTTCAGTACAAATTATTTTTTCAAGTAAAGACTTTTTCTCCCCTTTATTTAAAAAGTAATTGCTTTGTTATATGAAAAGGGGAATAAAATATTTTAAAATATCATTTCAAGTGTTTTGCTTCTCTGATATTAAACATTTGCTTCAAAACCTAATGTTTTGTAGGCTTTATATTTTCTAAGATACACAATACAATACATATTACACTAACATATAACTATATATATATATATATGGTATAATATACTATATACATATATGTACTATACTTGCTAACTTAATAGAGTTAAAAAATCAATTGAACTATTACGAGTACACAATTGTCACTAATATTGACAATGAAAATGAGTTTCGATTTTTAATTAATAATTAACTTTAATAACCAATTATTAACAATTATTTCAAATAATGTAATTTTTTTATTTTCTCAAGTATACTATAAATTCTTATATAGAGTAGTTTTTATATAATTTTTTTAAAATATTTACATTTATTTGGTATTTTAACTTGTTAAAATAGCATTGCTATAACCTAAATGTGCTAAAATTATTCTCTCCAATTTTTTGTTACTCTTGGAAAAAAATAACCAATGAATTATGTGGTAGCCATTCTAGTTACCATACCGGGCAAAGACATTATCCAACCATAAGTGTGTCAAAACACTTTTTTTTCTTATTATAATTATGAGAACATTTTATAATCGTAGAATTATATATTTATATATATTTTATTCTATAATGTATAATTGAATGTTGCGTTAAATGAATCGCATAAAATCACAAGTCGTTTAGTCTTTTATGAGACTTAAAAGATACTTTATATTATTTATTCACTGTTAGATTTGACTAAGCTTTAAACTTTGATCTTCAATTAAATTTCTTCAAAAGTTTAAAGTATAATTTGCTCAAAATTCATAAACAATTTTATATTCAGTTACGAGTAATGGAAATTAAAAAATTTTATTTTAACTTTTTTTTTTTTTTTTTGAAATATAATATTACTTTTGTAATTCCAACAAGCCAGCATTAGTCGACTAAAAACTAATTTGCTTTTTTATAACAGCAAACTGTTTTCAGTAAAACATGTCTTATCCATACATAGGTGATGAGGTAATAAATGCAAGTTTTTTTTTATAAATTTATATGAGTAATTTCGAATATACTATATAAGGATAAAATAAATATATGTTCGAAACAAATTGATTACAATTCAGTAAAATGCATACAATTTTTTTTAAATATCAAAGTGAGAAAAAACTGTTGACGTTTTTTTTAGAAAAAAATACTTATTATTCCAAATATGTTTTTAAAGCACCAATTCCTATTTTTTCGACTGAAACTTTCATAACTTTATTCTAAAATCGAAGATTATCGCTTAGTTTTTACTTGTTCCATAAGCTTATAATTGTGAGAATTAAAAAATATTTTTATTGATTTTTTGTGGTTGAGCTGTATTGTGACTGATCTTTTTTAAATAATATTTATAATTTAATTGATTGGTAATGATTGACTAGACGGAATGAGTAACATCTTAAACCTTTGAATTACAAAGAGGAGGAGGAGCCATCGAAGTTGGTCCCTTAAAGTTGGTTATGATGGAATGTCTTCTCAATAAACAGAGCTATTTGTCATAGTTAAATGATCGAAAATTATATTTTCGCTCTACAATAACTGTAAAAAAATAAACTACTTCTTCTTTATCTATCAAACAGAAGGAATTGCAGCAATCCATTTAAAAGTTATGGCATATCCTAGCCAACCTATTACTCTTACACGTGTCATTTCTTTGTTGCTGGTACAGCTTTGTCATTTATTATAGCTCTTCGGAGTCTTTTATATATGTTTCCAATATTAGATCGATTATTACTTTTATTATTATTCGTTTTATGATTACTATTATTATTTATATTATATATATTATTATATTATATATTATATTATATTATCATATATTTTATTATTACTTATTATTATTACTGATTTTATTATTACTAATATTATTATTTTTTATTTTATTTTTATCAAATAAAATTTTGTTGTTTCTTCACTGGTAAAAAATAAAATTTATATTAACAAAGTATTTTCTTTCATCGTGAGTTTAAAAATCAATTTGATTAGCATTAGTACTATAGTATTTTATATATACCATAATTTTATTAAATACAATACAATTATTAAATAAGTTTCAAAATTTTTTTTTTGAATAAATAACATATATAAATAATACTTTCGAATTAAACAAGCAATTAAAAATACTGTTCGATTATTAAATATTAAAATAATTATATTTTATTCTTGAATTAACTTTTTTATATTTGTTAGCTTAAGAATCTATTATTTTGTTGAGTAAAGTATTTTATACAGAAATATGCATTTTTTTAAAATATCACTAAATTCATCAAATAAATATATAAATAATTATATGACAAAATAAGTAATTAAATAAATGAAATATAAATTAATCGTTTAATAAACTAAAAATTACTTTATTTTAATTATAGATGTATATTAATATAAAATAATAATAAAAATATTTACTAAAATCTATTATTTTGCCAAAGAAAATTTATATTTTCCACTAAGGTTTTCATAAAAACTATATCTTAAAATATAAATATATTTGGGGGTGAAATCCTTATCCTTAATCTTGTGTTCTTAAAATTTTTGAAACAACTAGGGACTTATATATAACATATTCTGCTAAATTATTTAATCTCGGCATTGTTTTAACTATTCTAAAAAGTAGATACATAATTTAGTTTTACTCTTAAAAAGTGCGAACTTTTAATTGTATAACTAAGAAACTAGTTAGAAACAGCAGAATCTACGCTTCAAAGTCACATGTCTACAATAATTAAGTAGGCTAGGCCGGAAGAACGGCTGGGAAATATTTCTTAAATATATTTTCTTATATTATGGGGATATGTCATATAAAATAGAATTTTAAATAATATGGAAAAACAACTTTAGGATACTACATTATATTAATATGAAAAGTCTAATACACCATATAAATTTCATTATTTTGATATTGCTAAGTACATTAGATATGTAAACATATTTCTATATATTATACAGTAATTCCATTTCTAATAAATCTATGTACAAGAATATAATACTTTAATGTGTAAAACAAAAATCTGATACACTAATTATTCTTAGTAGGATACAGATAATCTGATATAACGAGATCAATTTGTTTCAATGAACTAACCCAGAATATATAAACTTTAAAGGAACTCCTCTCTCTGTTTATGGTTATTTAAAAAATATATATACATTATAAATGCATGTACTATAAATATAATAAATGCTAAAAAATGTATTATATACAGAAATCAAACCAAAATAAGTTGATTAATAAGTTAAAATATAAGTTTTAATATATATGTAATTTATTTTTGTATTAGCATTAGTTACTTAAGCATAATTTGTAAACTATGTATCTTTAGTGTATATTACAATTGTTTTTAATTTATTTAATATTATGTTTAATTTTTAATAATTGTGTTTAATTGTTTTGTATATTTAGTCTGCAAAAATTACAAGTGTCACTTTTATATTTTAAAAATAAATTGGTTGTAGTTTGATTATATACTATTGCTAAATTTATTTATTTAATAATTAATTTTGAAATAAATAATGTAAATATATAATTTTTTTTTTTTTTGTCAATATGAAAAACTTTTAACACCGATCGCTATTTTCACCTTTACCAAACCAAATACCAAAATCACAACATTTTAAAAACACCAATTCCGAATATTTAAAATCACCATTTACCAATCACCAACAATCTATTTAAAATCACCTATAAAATATTACAACTATAAGGGACCGGCATTAATTATTGTAAGTACCAAAAATAAAATATTTTTAAAATTTAAAAAATTGATTAATATAACGAGTACTTTTCTGTGCAGATGTATTAAGAGAAATTGTTCGATATGAATGAATTCTATATTTTAAGCAAATAACAAACCTATATGAAAATAACTAATATTTAAAATATTATATATTTTTATTTCCTACATACCTTTAACATTCCTTGGCGTGGGTCCATCATAATAAACTCGTTGCAACTTCCTTTATAATACGGACATACCAATTATTATTAATCGCATTGTTATTGTTGATGTTGGTCGGTCTTATCATAACTAACCATTTTGACATATATCATTAAAAATAACTCATACATTGTAACTTATTAAAAATTATAATAAAAAACTGACAAAATAAAAATAAAAATTAATAAATAAATCACATCCTAGAGTAGTAATGCTGAAACATTTGCGGTAAAGTATTGTACATATATATTACCTTAAGTATTTATACCAATTCAATATCATGTAGAACTTAGATTCAAATATATAATAATATCATAAAGATTTGTTTTGTATTTTATGTTCACAAATATATATTTAAATTTTTATTATGCTTTTTTTGTTTGCGTTGAAATGAATAATATAATATTTGGAGTACCTGGGTTTCCTTTTTTTTAACTGTTTTTAATATAATCTAATCATTTAAAATTGAATTTAAGAAAGATTCTGTAAACATATATCTTTGCAATTTTATAAAATGATTTAATGCATGATTATTTTTATGATTAATTTTTTATAGTTAACATTGCACAAAATCATAAATTTCATTATTCAATATATATAGGGAACGTTTTTTTAATTATTATAATACAAACAGTGACTTACTGTTAAGATAAATATATTTTTACATTTGTAATATAAATTGGAACTAAAATGTTGATTTAAAAAATAATAAATTATAATATGTTATTAACTAAGTAAACAAATAATAAAACTTTTTTTTTAAATAAACAGCATTACGATTTTAATATATATATATATATATATCCATATTATATGTTGTTATGGAATAACATAACATGTAAGCAATAATTTTTAAATGAATTATATATCATCAAAGCATATTAGTAGTATAAGGATTCCATACGTTAATGTTTAATAATCAATCACTTTCTTCATAATCTTCATTTAATCTTTAAAAAAATTAATAAAGAACATCGGTCAATTTATATTTTTCCAAATGCCGCTCTAACTATCGTTAAATCTTTGAACTTACTGGGTTTTTTTATATGCAATATATATAAAAACTATATATTAAATTTCAATGATAAGCGAGTAGAAGCTGGATCCTAATGGAACGGAGTCGCTTTTGTATATTTCCTAGAGATTAACTAGAAGAGTGGTATCTAAAGTAAATATATCACAGAAACAAGTAAAGTTCCATAATTTTCTCAGAATTAATTTAGAGATAAACTTACAAACTAATTTAAATCAGCAGGTAGTATCATACATAATCTCATCACATATTTGCATGCTGGATTACAATTTCACTAATATCTTTCGTTCACATAAAAATGATCGCCTTGCTTTGCCAAGTTTAATTTGATATTAAAAATATAAATATGTTAAAATAATTTAATACTAAATAATATAAAGCTTAATAACATAACACAGAAATATATAAAGTAAATTTTTATAAATGAAATAATTTTTTTACTTTAGGGTGAATTGGAACAACAATTGTTGCAAGCTAATCCAATATTAGAAGCCTTCGGTAACGCTAAAACTGTGAAAAACGATAACTCATCACGTTTTGTAAGAAAAACCTATAATATAAATATATTTTATATTTTATTTAATTATTCATTTATAATTTCAGGGAAAATTTATTCGTATTAATTTTGATGCCTCTGGTTACATCTCAGGTGCAAATATAGAAACATATTTGTTGGAGAAATCGCGTGCCATTCGTCAAGCCAAAGATGAACGAACATTCCATATTTTCTATCAATTACTTGCTGGCGCTTCACCTGCCCAACGAGAAAAATTCATTCTTGACGATATTAAGTCATATCCATTCCTTTCTAATGGTAGTCTGCCTGTGCCTGGTGTAGATGACTATGCCGAATTCCAAGCGACTGTTAAGTCGATGAACATTATGGGTATGACAAATGACGATTTCAACTCAATATTCCGTATAGTAAGTTCTGTACTGTTATTTGGTTGTATGAAATTCCGTCAAGAGCGTAATAGTGATCAAGCTACGTTACCTGACAATACAGTGGCGCAAAAAATTGCACATCTGCTCGGTCTTGGTGTTACGGATATGACACGCGCTTTTCTTACGCCACGTATAAAAGTCGGTCGTGATTTTGTTACAAAATCGCAAACTAAGGAGCAAGTCGAATTTGCTGTTGAAGCTATTGCTAAAGCATGTTATGAGCGTATGTTCAAATGGTTAGTGAATCGTATTAATCGTTCTTTAGATCGTACGAAACGTCAAGGTGCATCTTTCATTGGTATTCTTGATATGGCGGGTTTTGAAATTTTCGAATTGAATTCATTCGAACAATTATGTATAAATTATACTAATGAGAAACTTCAACAGCTTTTTAACCACACTATGTTCATACTCGAACAAGAAGAATATCAACGTGAAGGCATTGAATGGAAGTTTATTGACTTTGGCTTAGATCTGCAGCCTACCATTGATCTCATCGATAAGCCTGGCGGAATTATGGCGTTGCTCGATGAGGAATGTTGGTTCCCAAAGGCTACAGATAAGACATTTGTAGACAAACTTGTTTCAGCCCACTCAATGCATCCCAAATTTATGAAAACAGATTTTCGTGGAGTGGCTGATTTTGCAATAGTACATTATGCGGGCAAAGTTGACTACTCAGCAGCTAAATGGCTTATGAAAAATATGGATCCTTTGAACGAAAATATTGTTTCACTTCTCCAAGCCTCACAAGATCCGTTTGTTGTAAATATTTGGAAAGATGCTGAAATTGTTGGTATGGCACAGCAAGCTCTTACTGATACACAGTTTGGAGCACGAACTCGTAAAGGTATGTTCCGTACAGTATCACATCTATATAAGGAGCAATTGGCTAAACTTATGGACACTTTACGTAATACAAATCCAAATTTTGTTCGATGCATCATACCAAATCATGAAAAACGTGCCGGTAAAATCGATGCTCCTTTGGTGCTTGATCAACTACGTTGTAATGGTGTGCTTGAAGGTATTCGTATTTGTCGTCAAGGTTTCCCGAACCGTATACCATTCCAAGAATTCCGCCAACGTTACGAGCTTCTTACGCCAAATGTTATTCCTAAGGGTTTCATGGATGGCAAAAAAGCTTGCGAAAAAATGATACAAGCATTGGAATTAGATTCAAATCTATTCCGTGTTGGTCAATCAAAAATATTTTTCCGTGCTGGTGTATTAGCGCATTTAGAAGAAGAACGTGATTATAAGATTACTGATTTAATTGTGAATTTCCAAGCTTTCTGTCGTGGTTTCTTGGCGCGCCGCAACTACCAAAAACGTTTGCAGCAATTAAATGCGATACGCATCATTCAGCGCAATTGTGCTGCATATTTGAAGCTACGCAATTGGCAGTGGTGGCGTCTCTATACAAAGGTGAAACCTTTATTGGAAGTGACGAAGCAAGAGGAAAAGCTCGTCCAAAAAGAAGACGAACTAAAGCAAGTGCGTGAAAAGCTCGAAACCTTGGCTAAAAGTACGCAAGAATATGAGAAAAAATACCAACAAGCTGTGGAAGAGAAAACATCTCTAGCTGAACAACTTCAAGCAGAAATTGAATTATGTGCAGAAGCAGAGGAGTCACGCTCACGCCTAATGGCACGTAAGCAAGAGTTAGAGGATATGATGCAAGAACTTGAAACTCGTATAGAAGAGGAAGAAGAACGTGCACTAGCACTTGGAGCAGAGAAAAAGAAACTTGAACTCAACATACAAGACCTCGAAGAGCAATTAGAAGAGGAAGAAGCTGCAAGGCAAAAACTACAATTAGAAAAAGTGCAACTTGATGCGAAAATAAAAAAATATGAAGAAGACGTTGCTCTTACAGATGATCAAAACCAAAAGCTTATTAAGGAAAAAAAAATATTAGAGGAACGAGCAAATGATTTATCACAAACTCTAGCAGAGGAGGAAGAAAAAGCAAAGCATTTAGCAAAACTGAAAGCAAAACATGAAGCAACTATTGCCGAGTTAGAAGAACGTATGCATAAGGATCAACAGCAAAGACAAGAATCTGACAGAACTAAACGCAAAATAGAAACAGAAGTTGCTGATCTTAAAGAACAGTTAAATGAACGTCGAGTGCAAGTAGAAGAGCTACAAGCACATCTTTCAAAGAGAGAAGAGGAATTAACTCAAACGTTAATGCGTATTGATGAAGAATCTGCTGCCAAAGGTATCGCACAAAAAGCTCAACGTGAACTGGAGCTGCAATTAGCTGAAATCAATGAAGATTTAGAGGCGGAAAAAACAGCAAGAGCTAAAGCCGAAAAAATAAGACGTGATTTAGGAGAAGAATTGGAAGCTCTTAAAAATGAATTGCTTGATTCTCTAGATACGACAGCAGGTTTGTATTTCATAATTTTATAGGTGATTATTGTCGAAACATAATAAATTTTTAATTTAATTTTTTATTAGCTCAACAAGAATTACGCTCTAAACGAGAGCAAGAGTTAGCAACACTGAAAAAATCGCTGGAAGATGAAACTCTTAACCATGAAAACCTGCTGGCAGATATGCGTCATAAGCATGCACAGGAATTGAGTACTATAAATGATCAATTGGAAAATATACGAAAAGCTAAGAGTGTTCTAGATAAAGCAAAAACTACACTAGAAGCTGAAAATGCCGATTTAGCTACAGAGTTACGAAGTGTTAACAGTTCAAGGCAAGAAAATGACCGCAGACGTAAACAAGCAGAATCTCAAATCGCAGAATTACAGGTAATGCCAATATATTTTGTAATAAACATTACCTTGTGGTTGGTTTATACTACTAATAATATCTAGTATATTTCACCACAAGTTAGTAAACATATACATCGCATATGGCGCTTAATGTGTGTTATTTCTATATACACTAAGTATGTTTAACCTTCCAAGTAAGAAAACGTTAAGTTACATGAACACAGAATAGGACAAATTATTATTTTTTTTTGTGTTTTGTGGTTATGATTAGCATTCACTTTAAACATTGTTATTCAATATCTTAAATATTAATTTAGAAATTTAAATATTTCTAATATTCATTTTATGTTTGGTTTCATTAATTGTAGATTAAATTAGCTGAAATTGAGAGAGCACGTTCAGAATTGCAAGAGAAATGCACAAAATTACAACAAGAAGCTGAAAATGTGACAAATCAATTAGAAGAAGCTGAATTGAAAGCTTCAGCGGCTATAAAATCTGCTAGTAATATGGAGTCTCAGTTAACGGAAGCACAACAATTGCTCGAGGAAGAAACGCGACAAAAGTTATCCCTTAGCTCCAAATTACGACAACTTGAATCGGAGAAAGAAGCCCTGCAAGAACAACTTGAAGAAGATGAGGAATCAAAGAGAACTTTTGAACGAAAATTGGCTGAGGCAACAATACAAATGCAAGAAATCAAGAAAAAAGCAGAGGAAGATGCTGATTTAGCTAAGGAACTTGAAGAGGGCAAAAAACGATTAAACAAGGAAATTGAAGCTTTGGAGCGCCAAGTTAAAGAGCTGATTGCACAGAATGATCGTTTAGACAAGAGCAAGAAAAAAATACAATCTGAATTGGAAGATACAACAATTGAGTTGGAAACACAACGCACTAAGGTATGTTATTTATTTATTAATATATTGGATATATAAAAAAATGTTATCTCAAATTAGGTATTGGAATTAGAAAAGAAACAGAAGAATTTCGATAAAATATTAGCAGAAGAAAAAGCTGTATCTGAACAAACTGCTCAAGAACGTGACACAGCAGAACGTGAAGCGCGTGAAAAGGAAACTAAGGTGCTTTCTTTGACTCGTGATTTAGACAAGGCATTCGATAAGATTGATGATCTTGAAAATAAACGAAAAATGTTACAAAATGAACTCGATGATTTAGCAAATACACAAGGAACAGCAGATAAGAACGTTCATGAATTAGAAAAGGCAAAACGAGCTCTTGAAGCGCAGTTAACTGATTTGAAAGCACAAAATGTAGAATTGGAAGATGATTTACAGTTGACTGAAGATGCCAAATTGCGTTTAGAAGTAAATATGCAGGCATTACGTACACAATTTGAGCGAGATCTGCAAGCAAAAGAAGAACAAGCAGAGGAAAAACGAAGAGGATTAGTTAAACTGTTAAGAGAACGTGAAGCCGATTTAGATGAAGAACGTAAACAACGTACTGCAGCTGTAGCGGCGAAAAAGAAACTAGAGGGAGACTTGAAAGAAATAGAAACAACTATGGAAATGCACAATAAAGTAAAAGAAGATGCACTTAAACATGCCAAGAAATTGCAAGTGCAACTGAAAGACGCACAGCGTGATGCTGACGAAGCTAAAGCTTTGAAAGAAGAACTCCAAGCAGCTAGCAAGGAGACAGAACGTAAAGTAAAGACTTTAGAAGCGGAAGTATTACAATTGACAGAGGATTTGGCCAGTTCAGAACGTGCCCGTCGTGCAGCTGAAACTGAACGTGATGAGCTTGCGGAAGAAGTTGCTTCAAATGCTAGTAAATGTTCGCTAATAATTGATGAAAAACGACGTCTAGAAGCTAGAATTGCTACTTTAGAGGAGGAACTCGAAGAAGAGCAATCAAATTCAGAAGTGCTGTTGGACCGTAGTCGTAAAGCTCAATTACAGATTGAACAACTTACTACAGAATTAGCTACTGAAAAATCGAACGCTCAAAAAAGCGAAAATGCTCGTGCCTTGTTGGAACGTCAAAATAAAGAGCTTAAGGTAAAACTTGCCGAAATTGAGACTGCTCAACGCACCAAGGTGAAAGCTACAATTGCGGCGCTTGAAGCTAAAATTGTAAACCTTGAAGAGCAATTAGAAAATGAAGGAAAAGAGCGACTTTCACTGCAAAAAGCTAATCGTAAAATGGATAAGAAAAATAAGGAACTAACAATGAACAACGAGGACGAACGCCGACATGCAGATCAGTATAAGGAGCAAATCGATAAAGTATGCAGAAAATTTATATTTATTGAATTTATTAAAATATATAATCATATGAAATTATAGTTAAATAGCCGTATAAAACTGCTGAAACGTAGTCTTGATGAAGCAGAAGAGGAACTTCAAAAGGAAAAAACACAGAAACGCAAATATCAGAGAGAATGTGAGGATATGATTGAGAATCAGGAGTCTTTGAATCGTGAAATTAATACGCTCAAAACAAAACTTAGGTAAATTTAATTATAATAAGTTCATTTTGAGTCCATTTTCATTAAATTATAGAAATTGTTTGTACTTTTTAATAATTTTTATTTTGCTTATATTTGTAATAATTTATCTACAACCATATTAAATTTACGAAATAGATCAATACAAGTTGCTGAAACAGAAAAAGCTAAAGCATATTCACCTAAAAAGGATGCTACGCTGATAATGAACTGTGAAGGTCTTTTGCAGACAAAATAAATCTTTATTTAAAATGAAATAATAATAATAGCTTATTTTCCCATTCATCGATGTCTAATCAAATCAAATCAAATCAAATCAAATTTGTTTTCCGTAAGTCGCGTCTTTTTAGGTTATCAATATAGCCTATCTGCACCATTAAAATATCCACGGTTTTGTTATTTGTGAACAAACAACAGAAATCCCCTTCCAATATTAACTAATGATAGTTTCTCTTATATTATGTACTTGTACTTAAGACTCTGCATGTTCAAACCCTGTATGAAACTATGTTTTAATTTTTCAAAGAGTTTGCATGTAATAAAATGTAAATTTTATGAATTAATTGTAAGTGATAAAATTCCAAAAGATTTGAAAAATTTAACGAATATTTTAAAATAAATTTTTATTTTAGAATATTTAACTTAATTATATCTCTTATCTTATATTAGAGTTAGGGATTTTTAACATTCTTGAAATAATTCAAAAATAATAATAATTGGAAAGAAATCCATATGTATTGAATTAATTCAGTGTGTTTTATTTTTTTGTTTTTATTATACTAATAAAAATCGTTATTGTTCATAATAAAAATTGATATATATTTTAAAAGTTAAATATTTCTAATTAAAATAGAGTTGAGTATAAAACTTAAACTGCAGTGAAGAAGAGTAAGATAATCACATATAAAAACCATTTAAAATTTAACAAATTTAAACCTTCTATCTTCCAATATATTTTATTTTATTAAGTTGAACAAATTATTTATTTTTTTTGGTAATTGTTTTATATGTAGACATATTAGCTTGTTTTGAGGTACCTATATAATTAGAGTTTAATTGCAATTTCCTTGCACGTAGAAAACTACATATTTTATTTAAACTCATAAATGAAAATAATTTTTAACTTATTAAAATTTCAGACGTACTGGTGGTATTGGTCTTAGTTCGACCCGCCTCACTGGAACACCTTCATCAAAACGAGGTGATGATAACTCTTCGGTGCAAGATGAATCCTTAGATGGTGATGATTCAGGAAATTAATATGTTAATAATTTAAACATATAAATGTTTTCTCTTTTATTTTTTATATATTACTCTTTGTTGTTTTTTAATGGATTTTAATTTTTCTTAGTAAAAAATATATAAACTGAATTTAAATTAAGAGTAATAATGCATTTTTAAATTGTAAACAATTTAAAAAAATATAAAACTAAATTTTTTACACAAATGCCCATACCTAAATAATTTAATTTCGTCAAAACTGTAATTGCGTATTATAAAAAAAATATACATACACATTAAGAATACTTTTATAAACCTTCTGCGTAGTTTTTTATATTTATATATATATTTATGTATCTATAGATATATATGTATAAAAAGAATATGCAAAATAAATTTTAACAAAAAAGTATTTGGAAATAATTGCATTTAACATTTTAATGTAAAAATAAATTTTATATTTTTGATTTTTACCTTTTTAAGTATAGCATATCTTCTTATTGGTGTTTCGAATACAGAATAAACACAAGCATTTATACATGCATCGAAAATAAATTAAAAAATCCAAATAATTCAAAATATTCATTTTTAAACTTTACAGCTGAAAGTATTTTATTGTTGGCTTTATTAAATATTTTTGATCCTTTGTTTTTTTTTTATTTTTTATTTTACCATTATTAATGTGCTTTTGATAATGAAAATAAATTTTCTGTTTATAAAGAAACACATTTAAATATAACTATAGACCAAGAGTATATACCAAACTATACACGAGTTTATGGTTCTTCTTTACTTTGAGTAACTGTCAATTTAAAATGATGATTGGTTTATTAAAAAATTAAAATTTTGAAACATTAAGAACTCGCAAAGATCAATTATAAAATAAAACAGCGAATATTATTTTTTATATTGGCACGTATATTAAGCATGAATTTAAAACTTGTAACTAATAAACTAATACTAAATTTAATATATAATATCAAATACATTCTAATTTTAAAGTTAACAATAAACAAAAACTTTAAAAAAAAAATAATAGAAATAGCGTTTAAACTGGTTGTAAGAATAATTACAAAACCTTTAAATAAAATATCCATTTAAAGATCTGAACTAATATAACATTTTAAATCTCTTTTGTTTTTTTTTTTGCGCCTTAAATAGTAATTTATTAGAAATAATTTTCCCCTCATAGAATCACTGCTTAGCAAAGGTTATTAAAGATTTTGCTCTATTAAATACAAAATATATTTGTATTAAAATATTATAAATATAATATTTTGTTATTTGATTAATATCTATAGCAAAAATATAAATAAAAAGTATCTTCTTGAAAATAATATTTACTACTTACTACTTTTATGTTTTGAAATAGTATTTTCTATAAAAGAACTAAAAACGTGCCATTGTTTCGTTATTAAAATAAAAAAATCTTAACTATCAATTAAATTGTTGAAAGAGTACTTTTATTTCATATTCAATTAAAGTTCGGTGTAGAAGTAGGATTTATCAATTTGAAAATATCTCGACAATCATATTTTACCCGCGATTGTATAAATTTAATTAAAATTTTAGCCACATTTCTTGTGTTTTACGCTTTACACATTTGTATAGTGCCTGTTTTTACATACATATTTATAGTGTTAACAATTAAAAACGTATAATGAGTATGTGCTTATTATTATTTCCAAATCTTTCATGCACTTATATGTACTTAAATTTAATAATCTTATTATATTATGTTTTTATACTTTGAATTGATTAAAAAATTAATATTGCAAAAATGGAACCATTATACATATATATTATTCTTTATTATTTCAATAAACTAAATATAACTAAAATTATAAAGTAAAGGGTTTTGATTTCTCGAGAACAATTATGTTTATTAATGCTACTTATTGTTTCCGGATATAAAAGAACACAACTTTAAATGCTAGAAACAAGGGCTAGTATAATCATAAAATATATATTTTTATAACGTAATAATGAAATATCTAGTGCTCATAAAGTTGTTCGAATTCCAACTATGTCGTAGGATTTAATATGATTGTGGAGGAATAACATATATTAGTAATGCGATTCATTAACTGGGTGCTATTGCATAACGTAACAAAGCTGGGCCAAGTATCAACGTCGAGAAAACCAAACTTTTACAAAGTGGCTATAGCAGAGATATCTCTTCTCTAGCATCTATATCGGCTGGTAACGGTGACGTAGAATGCGTTCCAAGCGCTACTTATTTAGGTAACATTATTACAGACAAAAGCGCAGCTGACAAAAATGCCCACAACGGTATTTTCAAAGCGAGGACAAAATGCAAAACAAAACACATGTCTTTGTCGAATTTTTAAAATCTATTAGCCGGAAAGAATATCGAACACTGAATTATGGTGGAGAAGAAACCAACCCCTTGTTACTACGAAGATAACAGATCGCAAATGGTCCTGGATCGGGTACATCCTTCTACGACCCGCAAATAATATAGCAAGATAAGCACTGCGATAAAACCCACAACGTAGTTGGCGACCCGGTGCACTAGCAAGAATATGCTGGAGAACAATTGAATTTACTTGGAATGATGTCACTCCGGAGACCGGAATCTTTTTATGCTCTATTCTATTTGATTTTTATATAGCGATTTTATTTAGTAGTTACTAAAAGTTATTAGCAAATGAGCTTGCCTGGAAAATCGGAATGTTATCTGGAATTTTATTTTTAATTTCAACTTAAAACATTTCGTTGAACACTGATTTGATGCCAGTGTTAGTTTTTACATTCTTCCATTTAACATCTATTTAATAAGATAATTGTTTGTAGCAGCAAGAAGTATTGAGGATTATCTTATACTGAAAGAAAATTAACTGTTATTAATAATAGATGTATTAAACCATGTTGACATGTTGTTATATACTAGGTTACAATGTTATTAAATCGGAACTATAAAAAGTTTTACGGCAGATCTGATATTAATATGATAATTTAAAAATATTTGTTGATATGCCGATATTATATCGTTTCTCTCTCACACATCGTAAAAGAGATTAGATAGTGAGCGACTAATGATTATGCTTCTCTTCAAACATTCATAAAAGTTTTTAAATGGCAAGTGATAGATAGCAGTGGCAGAATGCCCCCACGAAAACTAAGTTGAATAAAAAGCTTATTGAAGAAGACCATTTACTATACATCAATGCTGAAATATACAATTCTGTAAATTACAATTAATTGATCATTATTTAAAAGTTTTATATTCTGAATAAAATTTTTATTAAGGCATACCTAGGTCCTAATAACGCAGGAAAGCAGTTGACGTATCAAATAAATTCAAGCATAGGGATTATTATGAATTAATGTTGTTAATTAACAACCCATATGAATTAAACTATAACTGCATAGAGTTTTATTCCCAACGATTTGAATCTTAATATTGTTGGTATAGTCTATTTTCATCTAAAGACTAGTCTCGTGCCTGTTAAAACGTTAATTATGTATTTAGGAAATCTATTGCTTTACATAGATGTCTGCAATTATCATTTAAAAGAACTATTTCATGTGCTAAAGAATTTTCATCATTTTTCTCAGTGTAGAATTTATTAGTATCATTTGATAAGGCGTATTATGCATTATCTGCATAAATCTTTGTAGATGGCAGAAAGAGTGAATTTCTGTTTCATTTAACTAGGTTTGTATATATTAAAATTTTAATAGATTTCAGTTGTAACAAATGTAATATTTTAAATGAAGAAGTGAATATGGATATGGAAATTGAAGAAATGGGTATATTAAAATAATTAATAAATTAAATAAATATGTTATTTTAAAAAGTGGTAAATAATTTTATCATTCTTCTTCTGCGTTACAAATACAATACGATAAGACAATATTTTTATTTCGTACTATGTTTAAAAATCATATTAAAAATCATTTAAAAATTAAAATAATTTATTTATTTACTTGTAATAATATAATACCGACAGAATTATTTATTATTATTGTTTCACTATATTTACATTTATATATCTTAAGCATAGACTATATACCATATTTTTTGTTCTGGGCAAAAACATAATAGCAATACCTTAATAATTGTAATGTTTGGCGTATTTTGTAAAATCCATTCAAACAGTTCTTAGTATAAAAATATCCACAAATGTATTTTATTTTTAACTATAATTAGATTAAATGGAATTTTTTTACTAATAATCTTTAAAATTTTTAAGTAATATTTAAAACTTGTATTAAGACTAAATTTTTCTCTCTCCTTCCTTTTTGCATATGCAGTAAATTTAATTTTCTGGCCCAAGGCTAATGAGTGTATAGAACACTAAAGGTAAAACCAAGTTATCAATCTGATCAGTATGCGCCTCTACTAGTGCAGTAATAATGGTTGCTGTTATAGAAATAAACCATTTGGGATGTGTCATTGGAATGTAGTCGGCGTAATATAAAGCAATAATTGATAGCATAATCGACACAATAAACGCAAATGTGCCTTCAAAAGACCGTGAATTGTCTGTAATTTAAGGTGAAATAAATTATTGAAATGATTTAATTATTTAGGTAGTAATTAGACATACGATGCCATTTCGATCTGCCGAATTTTGAGCCGATTACACTTGCAGCAGCATCGCCTACTCCAGTTGCTAATAAACCTGACATGAGTTGTAGAAGTGGTAGGCCAGTATTAGCCATCGCTGGATTGCTACCGCAGGGACAGGGATGTATCCAAATTGGTAAAGCACAGCCAATTAATAAAGAAAATGGAGTTAGCGCAAGTATACCAGAATCTTTCTCATCTGAGAATGATGCAAAAGCTTTTTTCAGTGAATTTCCCAGTGGTGGAATTTCCAAAATACGCATTAGTTCCAGAATTGTAAATACAGCTAGAGCTACTCCAGAAGCAATATATAGAAATGCACATTGGTGTAATAATCCAGGTACGAAAACCAACAAAATTAGTAAATGAAATATTTTGCGTACACTAGTAGAAGCTTTCTCTGTGTTTCGCAATTGCCAACGTACAGTGATAATAGTAAGTCCCACAAGTATTATGTAGAATAAAATTATATAAAGCTGAAAATATTTATAACAATAACAACATTATACCAGATGAATATTGAAACTTACTCGATTTGGATCATTCATTATGAAGTTCCATACGACAAATATTGGTATTGGCTTAGTCATTGGAGAGCATGTCACAGTTATTACTAGTGCCAATAAAAGAATATAAAAAGAGACTGGTTTCCGGAAACGCCTAAATTTGCATAGGATTAAGCAACTTATCAGGAGAAAGAACAGGGCATGCTAAAAGTAAAAATATAATAAAATATAATTTATAAATTAATTAGTAAATAATAAAAATTTACCATCATAATGGCATTAAGTTGATTAAATTCTCCACTGATCGGTACCGGAAACATTATATGCAAAATTGAATTCAAAATGAAAAGCATTAGGCCTTGTACGATAATTGTTGCTTCTCCAAATGAAAAGCAACGTGGAAAACCGCGCATAATGTGTATATAAACATTCTGATAACAAAATGTTACACCAAATCCCCAAAATACACCAAAAGGCCAACCTTGCGCTAAAACGACTTTGTAGAGGCAACTGGTCAGTATGCCTGGTATAAATGAGATCAAAAGCTTTGGAAGCAAACCAATGTTCAAGAACATATACATAAAAAAGCAGATGGACTCAATGCCCATGCCAGCAGCTGCAATTGACAGCATGTCGTAGGTCAGTGACGGAGCGCATGATGTTGCACGCATATAACGTGTGGCAAAAGCCATCGGTAGCAAAATACAAAGCCAGTAGCCAGGAGAAGCATTTGACCTGTAAATTTAAAAAATAAGAAAAAAAACAAAATAAGTGCAAACATTTCTTTGTATACGTATATAAAAAAAATATAAGTATTGTGTATAATTTTAGTTTAACCTTTTCACCCACGAAATCTGATATGATTTAATAAATATATATTTATATTTATATGAGTTAAATGACAATATTATAAGTATACATACAAATTTTATTATATTTATGTAAGTGAGAAAGGAAATTATCAACTGAAACTGAACTAATGATAGCACTTTTATTGGATTTGTGTAATTGACATAGCGAGTACAAAGTATCAATAATTTTTTATACGTAATTGATAACATTTATATGAATCACGTTAAATAATTTAATTTCAATAATTATTTTACCTGTAGGGGATCAGTGAATTGTTATTTCCTCTCATACCAGCTCTTATATGTTGATGTGAGTGATATCCTTCGTCACCAGTTGAATCAATAGAATCGCTGCTGTAACTGCTTTCGGAACTGCTTACCATAACAATTTATATTATATTGGAAGTCGAGGATTTCAAAATCAATTGATGGTCACTTCTATTTGCTAACTGCACACTAAACTTGTTTGAGTTGAACAAACAAAAAGGAAAATAATAAATAGCGGAAAACGCAAAGTTGCATTAAAACTTTGATTTTTGTTGCTATCCAACTGGAGTTCTGCAAGCATATAACAGCTTGGAGTTGCTTTATTGAACTTGCTTTTGGTTATAAAATTTCTTAACGGTACTGGTTAATATATAAATGCATGAATAACGACGAGAGTATTTTTAAATTAAATTATACAAGACCACTAACTTGTTGACGTTAATGCAGATGATTTGCACAACAATTCACAATAGTTAAAAGCTTAAAGAGTTACATTAATTATTTGCACTTAATAAAGTAACGTATCACTACTGTGAATTAGCATTTTTCTTATAATTATTTGCAATATTTGAAAACAAGGTCAACAAATTATATTAATTAGAAAACATTATTTTATTTTTTTATTTAAATGCATTAAGGGACAACCCTTTTTATTGTTTTATTAATATTATCGTTTTAGTATTATTATTTTATTAATATTATTATATTAGTTATATGTTTTTTCAATGCAGTCTTAACTAATAGTCATATTATTCACGAATACATTTTATAGAAAAGATTATGCAAAAAAAATTTGATATACACTTCAATAAATGGTCATAAATGTTTAGATCTATTAATTTTTAGTGTTACATATCCATTATGATTGGGTCATAATGGATTAAGCTACTTATTGGAACTAATACTTTAATTTATGGTGTTTATGTTTCAACATTTCCATTAAAGTAGATGCGTTTCAATTACTTGATAATTGAAATAATTCTTATCCAACAAAGATAAGAATATATATATATTTTTCTTTTTAAACTTCTAAACCAATTTTGGATCCATCTAATTAAACTCAACAAGACATGTGTTGTTTTCATTGACATAGTTTTTGTTATGGATTGAAATAAAATTTGTATGTATCTAAAACATATAGCATTAATAGGCATAATCTATCATATTTTACAAAGATTTTCATTTTAATAATTTAGATACACTCTTTCTAACTAATGAGCGACTTAAAACTATTTTTAGTAATTATTAGTAAATATTTACGATTCGAATTTTTAATAGTAAACAAAGAGATTAGACTACGTCTATGCTATTCTTGAACATTATATTGAATATGTACCATCGTTTTAGTCTTTTATAGTGGATTGAATGGATCAATCTATTTCAGGTTACAGAAGTACATATTGAATAACACTGAAGAAATGTATTCCTATCTATACAACAATAATTTTTAACATACTTTTTTCCCCGACATTTTTACTGCCATTAACCCTACAGCTTTGGCTGCCTTTATGTGATACACCTTGCATAATGGTATGGTCTTAGGATAAGTTGTACTTCACGCTAATGTAGCAATTTTTCTTGCAATTGATCTACTCTATAAGTGATTTGTTCCAATCATTATAGGCGACTAAAGTCCAGTTGGCACCACCTGATACTGTTTGAAGTATAAACAGATCAGAAGTATAAATCTGGACCACGGGGTCAGCGCCAACAGCTGTCCTGAAAAATAGACTTTGTCCCTTTGGAGATATCGTGATGACTTTTATATATTTCGTAATCGGATGTCGGGCACAAAGAGTCCAAAGAACAGCAGAGGTGTTACATAAGCCTTGCTCCCTCTAAAAAAGAAATTTACATGCAAAACGTATAGCTTCAATTGATACTAACGGAATTGCTTAAAATTGCAATGCAGGAGTTTAACATCGCATACGATACTGGTCAAACGAGATAGTGTGGTCTAAGTATTTTTAAACACGTGACACAGATGAACCTAAAAGTGTCAGAATGATGAGTATAACATAGGTTGTACTCCTATATACAACCATAGGTATCTTCCTTTAATAACATATGAACTCATGTTTTTCTTTTTTGTTTATTTTACCTTTTATTATTTAATTTAAATCGTTTTAATGCAACGATTTGCTTACAAATATATTTTTATATTTTTAATTATTTTACAAATTAATGTATATTAAAGTTCCTATAAAAATATGCACAAAGTGTATACATTTTCGTATATAAATATGTTATTATATCCGTATAATTATATGTAAATGTTATATGAAAACTTACAATATGAAACTTAGTTATGAATTTATATAGTATATTTTATATGAACGGCATTAGCACATAGTGGTATAATTTAAGTGAGTCTATAAAAATAGAGATTAAGTAGCAAACTACTAACTAACTAGCTTATAAATATTTTAACATTAATATGTATATATATTAAGTATAAACTTCTATGCTATAACTAAGATAATTTTGTATAAATTTACTGAAAAATGTTTTAATTTTTTATCACATTTTGACAGGAATGAAATCCTTAGGTGTTTCGAAAGTTTTTTGTATATAAGAATGAAAAGTTTGAGATATTTCATTTTCCAACATTTCAAAAAATGGCAGTACAGTTTTTTTTGTTGGCTTTGAGGGTATTGTGGTTTTATAATTACATTTGTGCTTCTGAAGTTTATTTAGACTAGACACACTTACACTAATTATATGCTACTTAAACAATGATTTATTTGTCATTTAGAAATATTTACTATCCTAGTAAGATATACAATAACCGTAGACACTACTATGAGAAACATACATAGATCATTTATAAAATAGGAACAACAACCGTATATTCTTATTAAATAGGTTCTTGCTGAAAGTATTCATGTTTTAAACAGGCCAGTGCAGATGGTCGTAACCGATAATCATAAGACAACATTTGCTAAAAGTAAAATTGAAACATATATTTATATAATAAATATGTAATTATGAATAAATTAGATAATACTATTCAACTAACACTCAATAAGTCATTGCCAAATTCACATAGGTTAGCACAGAAATCTCTAGGCTGCTTTGGTTGACGTGGTGGAAAATGTTCACGAGATAATGATATTGATTTGGGCCATTGTTGTGCTGTAGGACGACCAGTTAACCTAAAAAGAAAATCATTTATAATAATGAAATCATTATGAATCATTAATTTAAATAATTGTTAAACTTACTCAAATATCCGATCTAGTTGATTTGGTTCCGATGAACCGGGGAATAACGCTTTACGTGAAAACATTTCTGCTATAATACAAGCTGAACTCCATATATCCACGGAACTGTTGTATGACTGAGCAAGTAATATTTCTGGTGCTCGATACCATAGTGTAACAACTAAAGATGTTAATTTCATTTCAAAATCATACGTTTTCGCCAGTCCAAAATCAGCAATTTTTAAATGTCCTTGTGAGGATATCAACAGATTTTGAGGCTTTAAGTCGCGATGTATTATTCGATGCGTATGCAAAAAATCAACTCCTGTTAACAGTTCACGTGAGAGACGCTATTTATTTTAAAATATAAGTAAATTTATATATATATTGTTTTGGATAATAACAATTTGTCCTTACTTGTATTGTTGTAGGTGGCATGCCGGATTTTGGTAAACGATCGATTAAATCTGATAAATCTTGTTCTAAATGCTCGAACACCAAAAAGACCATTAATAGACCTTCGCGCTCCAAATATTGACATACTTCAAAAAGTCTAAAATATTATATTATTAGTATTATCATAATGTATGTTTTTTATTATTTACAGATAATTGTTAAATATAATTGTTAAATATATATTATTAAGCGATAGTAATTATAAAGAATATAGAAAATATTATACAAAATAAAAATAAATAAAATAAAATAAATAAAAACAAATAAAAATAGAATAAAAAAAATAAAAACAAATAAAAATAGAATAAAATAAAATATGAATTAAAAATGAAATAAAACAAATACAAAATAATTGAATTGAAAATTATATAAAATAACTAAAAAACAATATGAGTGTAAAAAAATAAAATAAAATAGTATATATATAAGAAATAAATATGGTATATAAAAACTAAAATAAAATAAGCAAATAAAAATTAATATAAAATAAATAAACAAAAATGAAAATAAAATAAATAAATTAAAATGTATAAATAAAAATGAAACATATGACTAAATAAAAATGGAAATAAAATAAATAAATAAACGTGAAAATAAAACAAATAAATAAAAATGGAAATATAATAAATTAAAAAAATTTAAAATAAAATCAATAAATTAAAATAAAATAAGTAAATACAAATTTATACAATAATAATAAATAAAAATTAGAATAAAATGAATAAATTTTAAGTGTTAAATAAGCGAGCTAAGCCCGGTAATATTCAAAAAACCTATTAATATTAATAATGAATATAATATAGCTAATAAAAATGAATATAAAATAAATAAATTGAAATAAACTATACATTGTCGTTTAATGGCTTTCAAATCAAAAAAAAAAATCTAATACATTTTAACTTTTTAAAATTATAGTCCTATAATGCTCTATGGTAATACATTTTTGCATTTTCTCATCATCAATACAGATATAGTATATTCATATATCTACATATATATATATGGATTTGCTATATCCATGTTGATACATTGTAAATACTTATATATTGTATATATATATAAAATATTGATTATTCTATTTTTATTATTATTATTTTTTTCAACAAATAAGTTTAGCGAGCCAAAAGTTTTTATAACAAATATGATTGTTATGAATAATTATTTAATTTAATTTAATTTCTTTTTAATCAAATATGTTATTTATTTTTATTTTAAAATTCGACAAATTTGTTTAGGTTTAAATTGTTTCGATTCCACGTTTTTAGATATTCACGATCTGTCACAATTTTTTTTAAAGCGTTAACAGCGCTACGCTACGTACACTCAAAAACTTAAAAATTAAACTCAAATAATTCACTAACACAAACTTCCATTGATAATATATGAGCATAAGAGACCACGCATATTAAAGTAAAGCAAATGAGAATGAGAACGTGAGAAAAGCACATACAAGCTCGCTCACAACTATACCCCTCACACATAAATTCGCCGCAACTACGTAACATGAACTAAAATAAATGAGAAAAAATTTGCAATTCCCCTTCTTTTGGACTGCAAATTCTGCTTATTAGCAACAGCTGTTTTATCTGTTGGTCTCACAACAAAAACAAAACACAATGTGTTTACATACACTTGTGTTTATTGGAAGTTGAAATTAGCCGGTTTGAAAACAGCAGAGTACGGTTTTGTTCGTTGCTCTTCTGTATAGATAAGTGTGTTCAAATGTGTGCCGCTGTTAAAATATACATTCTATTCTAGTTGAAAATAAAAATAAAAGGGGAGAAAAAACAATGCAGTGCTTTTTCATTTATCAGCATTCGCGGTGCCACTGTGGTGCTTGCCGATTACTAATCACAGTCAAAAGCAAATTGTGTACAATAAAAACAAATATAAAAATATACAACAAATATTTAAAATATGCATTATATATATTTATAGATATTTATTATGTATATTAGCAAATTAGCAAAATAAATATGAAAAAGAATATTATAGGCACATCCAAACAGTAAACAATGTAAAACGATAACAATTTCTCATTGTGCAAATAATTCGCTAGCGATGGGCGATGGGGGTTTCGAAATAAGTTCCTCATATAGACAAATTAGTTGGTTGTTTATGCAAATTTAAAACAAAAAAAAGCCACAACAATGAGTCCAATAAATAAACAATAAAAAACAAAACAAAAAAGCAGTTTTGAAATTTGCAGTTCTTCCGCTGTAACAGTGCGTCTCTATACATTCAGCGAAATCATGCGTTGCCTCGTCACACACAATAACTCATTTCCTTTCCTGCTGTTAGGAACAGCACAGAGACTAGCAGTGAATGCATGCACGAAAGAATGAAAGAGGCAGATAACCTGTTAAGAGTTGAAGGCACTAACGGCTGTTAATTTGCTTGAACGATTGAAAGATTCCTAAACTTCACACTCAACGGTCGATTTCTGCTTTATTTATTTATTCTTATTTTAATTGTGCAATTATCGAAGATTGCATAATTTTTACTTAATAAAAAAATTTCTGTCGTGCATTATGATAAGATTTCCACTTAACGGCAAATAAATACTTAATTTTAGGTAGTAGTAAACTTTCATTATTTTTATGCATTCGCTCTTATTTTATTTTTATAAGTTTACTTCTGCGTTACGTTTGCCCGACGTAGTTCACAATGATCATGACTTAATTTTAGTATTATGATAAATCGGATTTAGTATCATGATAAATTGGATTTAGTATCATGATAAATTGAATTTAGTATCATGATAAATCGGAATTAGTATCATGATAAATTGGATTTAGTATCATCGGATTTGGATTTGGTATTATTTTAAATAAATTACCGTGTGAGACATGAACCCACTAAACCACCTCTTAGAAATGAATGTAGAAGATTTCCACAGCATTGTGAAAACTTCATTCCAGTAATCAGGGGAGAGAGGAGAAAAAATAGTCTCACACGGTGGCTTAAATAAATTAATAGATGCAATAGTTGTTCCAAATTTTCTGAGGTAAATAATTGAAAATATTATTTATTTTAGATAAAACAACTAGATTTCCTGTTTCCAAGGAGAGCCACCCACAAACAAGCCCAATAAAAATAATAGATAGAACAGAATAGAAAGGAACAAAAACAGCTCACGTTTGAGATTCACTGTTCCTAAGGAAAGTGATATAAGTACGTTTCACCAAGAACGATAGGATGATATACGTTACGAAAACATAAAAATAAAGTGTTAAGAATCTTTTGTGTTGAAAATTAGAGAAATACTAAAAAAATACTAGATATTCTGTCTTCCGATATCTGATCAAATCATAAGATTTTGTTATATCCCTCCAACACAGAAGAATTCGTTTCTAATACTATCTCATATCGAACTAATATTGTTCTATAAACTGAGGCGGATTATACTATTTTAAACGTACTATTCGTCTCAAAGTATCAGTGAAAACCGATATTGCTTCACATTCTTTAAACAGAAAAAGAGTCTATTACTATTTATGAACTCATATTAATTTTAGTCGATATTGCACATCAGGTATCGTATTAGGGAACCCAATTCGTCCCTGCTGAGAAAGAGATCTCTTAGTGAAATTAAATAATAATATATATTATTTTAATATATAATCTTATAAATGATCTTAATACCTATAAAATATTTATCTTGTTACATAGAATATAAAATAAAATATTTTTCAATATTGTAACAATAAAGTGTTTAATCAGGTGTTAAATATATATAAACAGGCATATAATTTTTAGTAAGGTAAAACTATATATTTTTATTTGAGATAGATAACCTAATCTTATCTTAAAAATTTTCCTTTAATACAATATATTTTGTTTAGTATTACAAATAAATGCATCCCTTAGGGTCATCTTATGTAGAGTGTCACGGGCACGTTAATTTGACTGTAAAAATTTACTCTTTTGGGTTATGACGAAAATGCATGTTTTGTTCTACTTAAATTTTAAAGGAAATATATACATGCATACATGCAATACTACTTTGACTGAGTGATGAGGCACAGATAGACTCGGCTCTTATGACCGAATTTAAATGACATTTGTTTTTTTCTCTCACTCTCAGTTTTTAAATATGCATTGAAAGCAACAACAAATTTGATTTTGACATAACATGGGGCCTACTATTTTATTTGTATTTCTTGAAAAAAGTACGTATCCACATTCGAAGTAAATGCAATACACTACATAATAAATTTATAACATAATAATATTTCATATTTGTATTATTTTGAGATACATGAGCAATAACATACTTTTTAACATTTTATGATATGTATTTTATTGGAGGTAAATACAACCCTGCGGCGAACTGCAAGCAGTAGAAGGAAGTGTGAGTAAGCACCTTACATCTAGTTTATGTGTTGTACACAGTTTTATTAAATTGAATTCTTTTCAATAAATAGAATAATAACTAAGTAAATTGCAAATATACAGTCAGCGACAAAACTCTACATACACCTCCCATTTTTGCTAGCTCGTAAATCCAGGGACATAATAGAAAAAAGTAATGATACAGTTTTGTTTAGAACTGTTTTTTAATAATAATAAACAAAAGAAAATCCATTCATCAATATAAATTAACAAAGTTATTCGAAAAAAACCTAAAAAAATCATTGACAAAAGTCTACATACACTTCATTGATTTTTAGATATAGTCGACAGAAATATAAATGTTAAACGGGAAAGTACCGTTTTTCATATTTCATGCTTGTGGCATGAGTCATACATTTATATAATGCACTTAGTTGTGCTTTGAGAGTGGTATTTAATTGACACGATGGGTCCACGAAAAGAATTTCAAGTGATATACGAAATCTGGTTATTAAGCATAGAAATGAAAAAAAACCTTATGGTAAAAATATCAAAATTAGTAAATTTGACTCGATCAACAGTTCAGACGATAATAAGAAATTATAAAAATACTGGTTCTCCTGAAAATAAACCTCGCAGTGGCCGCCCAAGGATACTCATACGTAGGGATGTCAGCTTGGTTTTAAAAGAAGTTAACAAAAATCCGAAAGTAAGTGCCTTAAATTTAGTCGAACACATTGCTAATGCAACTAGGAAGCATGCCAATCTACGTCAAAGTTATTTTTCCTACTTCAGTTGCAGCTACGGCTCCCCAAAGCATAGCACTGCCACCACCATGCTTTACAGTTGGCATTATATGCCTCGGATTCAGTGCTGTTTTCGCTTTCCTCCAAACTTTAGCTCTCCAATCGCGTTGAAATATATTGAATTTCGATTCATCTGTAAATAAAACCTGCTTCCAGAAATCAAAATTCTTTTCTTTATATTGTTTGGCAAACTCTAAGCGCAGCTTTCGGTTTTTTTCAGAAATTAAAGGTTCTTTGCGTGGTATTCTATCATGAAAACCGTGGCTGTTCAACGTTCTTTCTACTATACGTGGATTGACATGCTTTCCAGTTGCATTAGCAATGTGTTCGACTAAATTTAAGGCACTTTCGAATTTTTGTTAACTTCTTTTAAAACCAAGCTGACATCCCTACGTATGAGTATCCTTGGGCGGCCTCTGCGAGGTTTATTTTCAGGAGAACCAGTATTTTTATAATTTCTTATTATCGTCTGAACTGTTGATCGAGTCAAATTTACTAATTTTGATATTTTTACCATAAGGTGTTTTTTCATTTCTATGCTTAATAACCAGATTTCGCATATCACTTGAAATTCTTTTCGTGGACCCATTGTGTCAATTAAATACCACTCTCAAAGCACAACTAAGTGCATTATATAAATGTATGACTCATGCCACAAGCATGAAATATGAAAAACGGTACTTTCCCGTTTAACATTTATATTTCTGTCGACTATATCTAAAAATCAATGAAGTGTATGTAGACTTTTGTCAATGATTTTTTTAGGTTTTTTTCGAATAACTTTGTTAATTTATATTGATGAATGGATTTTCTTTTGTTTATTATTATTAAAAAACAGTTCTAAACAAAACTATATCATTACTTTTTTCTATTATGTCCCTGGATTTACGAGCTAGCAAAAATGGGAGGTGTATGTAGAGTTTTGTCGCTGACTGTATATGTTACAAGTATACAACATGTTTCCTATCTAATCGCTTAAAAACTATATCTCGGACGTTATTGAGTAAGGCTAGTAAGAAAAAGATCGCTTTCAAACTAATCAACGATTTATTTTGAAATACACCAGCATAAAATAAATAAATTATAAATACAATTAATAATACTTATAAATAATAATTCTTAATATATCGCTCTTTTTAAAAAAAAAACTAAATTCTCTATTAATAATAATAACTTTCATTAGTACATTTATTTATTTATTTTTTATTTTGTAAAACTTACTTGACAATATTTGGATGATCCGATATATTTAATTGCTTCAGTAAGGCAATCTCACGCAATGTTGACATGGGCACACCATTCTCAGTCAGCGGAATTCGTACCTTTTTAATGGCCACAATTCTGCCAGTAACGTTGTCTCGTGCACGATACACAGTTCCGTAAGCACCTTTCGTCGAGTTTATGTGTTATACACAATTTTTTGTTTTTGTTATTGTATTTAATTTTGTTTATGTTATTTAATTTTATTTTCCGTTGATGCAGCCACAGCAATTACAGTTTAGAAACACATTCAAACGACAACGGTGAAAAGGAAGAAGCATGCAAAAAATAAAAAGAACAACATTAAATTAAAAAATGAAAACAACAATAATAAAGAGGTCAATGTCACATCGTTGCATATACACAACAATAATACATTGTGTTGTTGTAGAGATTTTGTTATTGGTAGTGAGTTTATTTGTGTTTATGCTTTAGGTTTTTGTTTTTAGGTTTTTTGTTTTGGTTTTGCTTTTGCCTTACAATTGTTGTTATTTATTTTTTGTTGTGCAGAAATAACAACAAAACGCATAATGTGGGGAATAAAAACAATGGAGTAGTACATAACGTAGGTCGGCCGGGCGTCAATGCTTAATTGCATTATGCACAGAAGCAATTATGTTTAAATTTTTTTTATTTAGAAAGTAAAAATTACGATTATACACTACAATATTATTATGTATTAATTAAGAAAAAAGGTAACTTAATTTACAAAATATAATAGCCTAACAAACTTTTTTTTTTATTAAATTTGATTTTAATGTCAATATGACATGACAGTAGTGACTATTTCACTTAAGAGAAACTGTCTTATTTTATTTATAACTGAACTAAATTTTAAATAGTGAAATGAGTTTAGTTTAAAAATTTAAAAAAACTATGTTAAAAAGAATTTATTATAATATATTTTGTAAATTAAGTTACGTATTGTTAATTCATACAAAATGATATTCTAGTGCAGGGCAGTCCAGACCAGATGAGATCGCGGGTCAATACAAATCACTGTACAGATTGTAGAGCCGCAGAAACAAATACATACGTTCATAGTTGTTTTCAACAAAAATAAAAAAATGATTATAATGTTAATTTTAGTTATATTAAAATTAAACAATTTAAATTCATTCATTTGGTACACTATAAAAATAAAATAATGTAATTTTACCAAAGTACACCAAAAGAAAATTTATGTTATTGTAGTAGATTAGCCGCATGTGGCCCACGAGCCTTTTTTTGGATAGCCCTGTTCTAGTGTATAATCGTAATACATTTTATGGGCAACAAAAAAAAAACTTGGATTAGAACTAGTCATAGGTTAAATATTTTTTAGATAGAGTCTTTTGGAGTTCATTAACACCAGTTTTTATAAAGGAACTATATGTTCATATGACTATTATAACAAAATTAAAACTAAATTCTGTGATGTTAAATTTTTTCTTTTACTTTCTGAACTAACAGTTGTTATGTGGGCATTGTGGTAGTCAGAGAGAATTATGTCAAGTGAGAGCTATACTAAAAATTTTTTGCCAAAATGGTTTTGCAGATCACCATATTAATTATAAAAATAGTTTGAGGAATGTGTTTTGATAAACAATTAAAAATATCTGAGCATAGCTGAATAAAACTTGGTAAAAGGTGAATCCTCCTACTCAGATCTCCTTATCGACCTAGTTCAAACTGTACAAGAAACTTACCGGTTAGCTGCTGCAACTCAAACGTAACCTGTTCAGCACTATGGTATAATTACTGACAGCTCACTGTGTACTATGAAGATATAATATGAGACTGGATCAACCATATAATGACATTTGTCAGGATCAACCATATATATGACATTTGTCGGATGAAGAGGAAACCGTACTATTCCTCCTGTCTTAGTGTCCATCATTATTGGCTAGGAAAAAATTTAAAATTTTTTCGCACCGTTTTTTACTGTCTTCAAAGAGGTGTTATCGAGCAAAATTGGCTAAATTTATAAATTTGTCAGGATGAGTCACTTTTACTTTAATGGAGCAGTTCGTGCCTTTAAATATTGTTAATGTGCTGAATTTCTCTAATTTGCGTATGAACAAAGGTAATCCATGTTATCACAACAGATCATTATTTGAGGTTGAACTAGCGGTACAAAACTCACTTGAACTCAAATAATAGTCTTGTCTGTTATCACGGATTGTCGTTGTTCATACGTAGACAGAAGGTCAGCGTACAAAACAACTCTGAAAAGCACGGTTCCTTTATTAATTTTTGTTTGAAATGAAATATCTTTTTAAACAATAAATTCAACTAATATCGCTTTCGCGGCCCTATGCTTCTCCCAGGAGTTTGAAGGAATTTATAAACATATATCGCTTTCGATTGGCAAATCCAGGCTAATTTTTTCCCCAAAAGGTGATTTTACTGTTAGTACAACAACATACTCGAGATTAATGTAAAACACTCTATATATTTTGGCAGATTGATAAAAATACCCTGGCATTAAGAACTATTTTATGTTATTTTACAAAAATATTTACGGATCACTGTAAACATGTCCGATTAAGCCACAAAATTCGAGCAAATATTGAGAGTTCGGGTGCAACTCTATACTTGCCAATAGAACACGACATAAGTTCAAATGTTCCAGTTTGTATGGCAGTTACATGATAAAATGAACTAATATTGCTTAGTGTAATATGAATGTCAGGCACTTACAAGATATAATCGAACTATTTCAAATATTTAAATATTTATTTTAAATATCAAACTATTTAAATATATATAAATGACTGTAATGTATAATCAACGTTTTTAATGACTGTGATATGAAATTCAATCAATTACAAGATAAAATCAACAGATTTTGTTGAGTCTGATAATGTGTAAGTTTAAAAACTGTTTCAAAAATATTTATGTGTTAAATGTCATTAGTGTCACTTATAAAGCAAAGAACTGGAAGGTCTCCAGTTCGGTTACTATGGAATTGAAAAATTACTTATAAAATAGTTTGCTGATGCAAAAAACAAAATATGTATTCATTTATACTTAAAGTAAAATATTATAAAATCTAATATCGCACATAAGATAAGAACTAAATAGAACAAGTTGAAAGAGGAACCACAGCAGAGAACTACAAATATTTTTAAACATTGTCAGCTGTTTCAGCTGCTTTATCTCTATAACGAGTATAACAAATATACGAAGACACATCACTCTACATATATATTTTTTTTAATAAAATTATTGCATAAAGTGGGAGAGAGAATTATTCCGGACCATATCAAGTTTTGTGACGACAAAATTTAATTAACACTAATAATAAAATGTGATAATATAGTCAGCCAGTTCTCTTCAACAGTTTAACAGTAATGTTATGCATGCTGATATGGCAGCAGAACACCAGAGTACGTTCCACATAGGGCAAAAAGTAGGCTAACAGCAAATGCTGCCAGTATTTTTATGATCGCTGGTCTTTACAGCGGGTTTTTTAGTTTTTTAGTTTTTTCACCGTGAAGAGGAAACGTTTTGAGGTATATGGCAGTATATGGCAGCAGATTACTTAGTAGACTCTAGTAATAATACAGTTTTTCTTTAATGTGTTTACGATTCGATTGTAGTTAATGTGTAGTAAATGTGTAGTAAATGTGTAGCATATTTGTTTGTATAAAAGTCTCAGTTGAACGGCAACTGATACTGAAGATACTGAAGAGTCTACAATGAAACAACCTGTTAACTCCAACAACATTAACAAGAACGTAACAGTCGAAGTCATTGTTTCCGTGTACCCCGCACTCACTCGCAATCAACAATTTGAACAATTTTTTTTATTTTATTTGTAATTTTAAATATTTTTTATTTTTTTATTTTTTATTTTTTACTTCTTATTTCATTAAAATTTTTGCTAAAGTAAAGTAGATAAAGTAGTGGAAACCGAAGACAAGTAATAGTAACAAAGAAAAGAGCTTAAGCGAATTTGCACAAAACGCAATAATAGAATATTAAATAAAATAAATTGAAATTGCTTCTTTGTCGCTACATTTCGGCAGTCGTTAAAAAACAGCAAAGGCAAAGGAATAAAATATAAAATAAATAAAATCACAAATAAAAGAAAAAAAAAAATAAAACACAAAAAATGCTAAATTTATTTTAGCGTAAAATATATTAAAATATACGAACGTACATGACTCGACATGCACACAAACAAACAAACAAATATTTAATATTATTAATAAAATGTTTTGATATTTCTAAGCAATTTACACACCAACAACAAATCCACTTGATTTCATACTGTGCCAGCTTGGGCCGTCGTGTTTCGTTAGTTACAAGAGCGAACTGAGCTGATACCTGCTATCACCCATCGTCTATCGCCTATCACCTACAGCCTACCGCCTACCGCCAGTCGAAAGTAATTCCAGCTGAGTAATTGGCCATAGACTTTTTGACTTTCTTGTCACTGCCTCATTGCGGCCGCACCATACTCCAACCACTTGTTCCGTTCAGGTGTTACACATTTTAGACGCTTGCCCGAAACGCTTCTAACCTCATCCACCATTAGGTTGGTTCAATGACTGATACGAAGCATGTTTAAGAGGCAATTTTGCTTAAAATGTTCCATTAAATTATTGAAACACTTGTGTTTAAATATAGCGAGGCATTTACAGTCGCATCACGAATTTTTGAATTTCTTAAGAATTTCAATTTCGAGGGGCTTAAGAATATATGAAATAAAATGAAGAGCAAGATTACTTGCTGCCCGAAAAAACAAAAAAACGTGTTTCTTAATGGATGACTAATAGAGAGACAAAAAGAAAAAAAAATATAAAAAAAAAAAAACGCTTAACGTAATATGATTTGAAAGTAATTTGCGATGGGAACACTTCTATTAATGCTGCAATACAAAGAAATTGTCATTTGTCACATATATTATGAAGTCCATACCGTCTCCAATCCCCCCTCCCTGTAGCCTATTGCCATTCTTCCATATTTTTGATGTGGTCGACAAAAATAATTTTTAAATTAAATTTTCTGATTCAAACTCAAGTGTGCGTCTGTTTAGACGCTATCTACAACAATTCCATTCATTTCGGTTTAATATACAATCATTTATGACTCTGAATATTGAGATTTATTTGTATATTATGTAAATTAATTTTATTCAATAATTTCTTCTTCTTAATTTTTTTTTTTTTTGATTTATTAGAAGCAAATAAATGCGAAATTTTTCTATTTGTATAGATCGGAAGCTTCATTAAAGTATCTCTGGTAGCAAATGCGTCTCGTTCATAACCTTCCGCAATATACCATACAAGTATAATATAAACATTTTAAGCTTTTAAGAAATTCATATTGTTTTAAAAAATATTATAAAAATAATAATAATGTTTTTTATAATAATGTTTTTACATATTTATGTATTTTTCTATCAACTTTTTACCCACAATTACGGGCAGTGTAGAGTTAAAACGGATTTTCTTATATAGATAGTTCGTAAATGCTTCGAAGCCTCCAAAACTAACGAAAAAACCGTTTTAAGTCCACATTCCTCGTAATTGTGGGTAGAAAGTTGGGCATATTAGAACCAGTCCAGCGCATTAATAAATGCAAGTTTCTGTTCAACATTAAAGTTTGAAATATCGCTGAGTGAATGAAAGAAGGAGCCCAAAGGCTAAGGTCTAGATATGAATAAGCCTGGACAATGTATATGTACATAAAAACTGTTTCAGTACTGGACAACTTTCCATAAAACAATAAAGATCCTTTACCTTGTTTACTTTGCATAGTAAACAGATTAAAATTTAAGATTTCTTTTGCATACAAAAGTTAATACGAATAATAATATTCGTAATATTCGTCAAAATCTTAATAAACAAAGATATTTTATTTTGTCTATTTTAAAAAAAGATAAACGGCCCATTTCAGAAAGTCACCTGTGTTACTACGTTCTCCAAACAAACTGGGCAATGACATCTGAGCTTGAGTGAAATTTCCTTCTTTTCATCTGTTGAGTGACAACCCTAAGAAAAATCGTACCAGGCTAGAGCAAGGCTTACGGCATGCCCTATTAATATGCAGTAGTCTGACAGCACCGATACCGTTGCTTCTGCTTTGGTTAAAATCACTAACTGGTGGGAATATTCGTACAATTCGGTCCAAGTGAATATTGTGATCTGATAAAATTCTCGTTATTCCAGTCCAATGAATCAATCTCATTAACAGCTTTTAAGGTAGTTAAATTTAATTGAAAGATTAGTCATTGCAAATGGGATATAAATTTCCGAAAATTGTATATAGAAGAGGAACGCACCTGTTTTAGCTAGGAAAGTTTGTAAAGGTGTACTTACAAACTGCCTATTTATGCAGAATATTCCATAAAAACTTCAATATACTCTATGGAGTGACTATTTTTATCATTAACGTAAAAAACTTCGATAAAGTTGAGTTAGGTAACTTTATTTATTGAATCATTCAGATATCAATTAATCGTGTTTGGAATAGCACTCTATGTAAGATGAATTTTTGAGAAAGATTTTATATTTTAGCGAAGCAGTACATTACGATTTTAATACATTTTTTTCCCAACAAAACAGAAAACTCTCAGTGGTCTAATAGATTTCATTAAGATTATATTTAGTGAGTTCCTGATTTTCAACTGAATCACGCTGAATATGATTAGAACTCCAATGCTTATCTTACAAACTGAAACATTTTCAGGTTAATTTTTAAACAAAGAGAATCTTTTCCAAAAACATGTGTATATATACATAAACATTTATTCCATATAAAATTATAGAAAACTCGTATATAAATGTATATATTTAATTAACATTAAACGTCATATTCTGTTGCAATTTTTAGTTATATCAGCATTTCCTCCAACTTCATTATCTAATAGTGCTGTTTGCTGTTTTTACAGTAAAGTTCATCGATATTAACTTTACTGATAGTTACGGTCGATAAAATTTATATAGAATAAATCCGGCATAGTTGAGACAACTTATGCGCTACTTTAGAAGCAATTGTTATTGATCAGATATTCATATAAAGAAGTGTTTCCTATTCAAGCTGGTAATAAATTATTATATTCTTATTTAGATAGATCTATACAGTCCCACTATACATTATAGAACAAATTATTTGTAGTTATATAGTCTTGTAATAATTACAACGTTAATAATATGTTTTAATCCATATGTAATAGTAATATAGCTCAATATCAATTAGTTTAGTCATTGCAGAAGTCCATCGCTGTTGTGAACTATGGTACATGCCAGAAGCGGTGAGCGGCAATTAATCTAGTGTCTCTGTAACTTAGTCCCAACCGATATGATACTAGACTTAGAGATATTTTAATATATGTATGTATGGCATGGTTATTTCTTGTATATAAGGTAGTCACCGAATGTCGTATTCTTAAGGTTGCATGTAGGGTGCTGAAGAATTGAGTTAGGTTGAGGATGTTTGCATTTTATGAATCATTTTAAAGATTTAAACATTTTACCGCAACTGAATTAATTATTTGTAGTTTTCAGTAGAATGGAATGCATGTATTTCACTATTTACGGAAATAATGTGCATTTATAGCAGTAATCATCAAAGCGATAAAATTATTTAAAATTTTAATAAACAAAAAAAATTTTGCAACAAAAAAATTGGAGAGAAAATAAATTTTATATAAGAAATGCATTGCAGAATTACAAAAGACTTTTAAAAAAAAAATTGCTAAAATAAACCAAGCATAAAACTTCGGACGGTAAGTATTCTGGATGTACTCTTCCGCGAAGACCAATTGGCGCTCACGATTACTGTTAAAAGTCATCTATTCGCAAGAATAATGGAATGATAATTTTAATAAATTTTAAATAGAAATTTGAAACCTATAATATAATGGGTTATAATAAATCAATAACAGCTCAACTTTTAAATTTGAAAGAATAAAATAGGGAAACTACCATATGTTCCAGAATACAGAAGATAGGAAAGCCCAAGTAATAAAAATAGAGTGATGGACTTGACAATAGTTTTTTTTATTAATATCTTTATTTTTTAAACAACTGTAATTTAATTGTGAAAATTATTTTTAATAAATTTTAAATAGAAATTTCAAATCCATTTGGTGGAAAAATAAATAAATTTGAAATCATATCAATTTTTTTTAATTTAAAACAATTTTTTCTATAACAAATAATAATAATTAATAGAGTTCAACTTTTTGCACTTATGTTCTATATAAATGCATTATATACACACATATATGTAATAATAATTCATCGATTACGATTAGAGTGCAGCTTGCAAGATTATCGTTATCTTATCAGAAACGAAATTACTTATTTATTTTTTTTTTGTTGAAAAGATCGAGCATCTCAAATTATGAATGAAATTATTTTATTTTAAAAAGTGCAATGTAAGCAAACAAAAATATTCAATACTTTAA